ATTTTCAATAAAAAGTATTGACTGTTAACAAAACAAAAAAACAAAACAAAACAAAACTTAAGGGAGAAAAAATGACCAGGCTTACACTAGTCAGATAGTGATTTGTGTAATCCCTGAGGCGATGGCTATTAGTCACCCTCCAAGCCTGGAAACATTAAAATGACTAAGTATTTTTAAGTGTTTTCTCTGGTTAGCAGACCTATTCACCCTCCACTTGATGGATGTGTTTTTGTCTGCTTTATAGTTTCTGCTTCCTACTGACTTCAACATATGCGTAATTCTGGCTCACTCATTGTACCTTCCAGATGTACCCGCTGTGTACACCTGTGTCATGACTACACAGTTCTGTTTTCACTGCTGACATCTGTCACAGTCCCCAGTTCAAGCTCTTGGGAGAGAATCTGATTGGCTACATTTCCTATTTGTTTTAATATATATAATTCATGACTATTTACTTAGGATAGAATATCTTTTCATCAAGTTTTCGTTTCCAAGTCATTTCTGGCTGAATATGAAACTTGATCATAAGTAAAGCATTTGCCTCACATATTATCAGAATTATGTCTTTTAGATGGGGCCATCTCTATTCCTCACCAAAACCCTATGCACAAGGTATTTTATTCCAACTCTCCTAGGTTTATCTTCATCTCAGACATTTGTATTGAACTTCCACATCAGTGCCTTATTCTATAACCCTATTTAGATAACTCTTGTTATCCCAATTAACATGTCCATAGTTGTAATCATGTTCTTCTTTCCTAACTTGCTCTATCAGTGCTATTATTTCACTAAAAAGCATCATGGACTATAAAGTTCCTTAATCCACATCCTGGTACTCATCCTGAATACCTTTTTCTTTCTTGTATTGCAAACTCTGAATGAGTTTCTCTTATTAAAGGTAGTATATTAACTGAAAGGTTGGGGTTTGACTTCAGCCAGAGGTGCCTTGGAAGAAGGGCTTGGTCGTTCCTATTGGCAGATCACAGCTGTTGATAGTCCTGTGAAATACAGTTCTACTCTGAAACATGCGGGGTTGCTATGAGTTGGAATTAAAACTAGATAATAATGAGCTTTGAAACATCTATTTTAATTAATTAGACCTTTCATAAACTTCTGATTAGTGGACTGTAGTCCCATATGCTGTAATTCTGAACCTCAGTAAGTTGTGATGCTAGTTTTCTGAAGTAAAATTGGAATGTACTGATGTTAAATTTTTTCATAATTGTAGGCTGCGAAAGAACAGACTCAGGATTTAATAGTGAAAACCACTAAGCTTCAAGCTGAAAGGTAAGTTTCATTGTAAAATCACCTCTTGATTAATTTGGGGATTGAGTAGAAAGAAGATTATAGATAACTCCAAATTAAAGTTAAAATGTAATAATAAAAAATATAGTTCAAAACTGGTTCAGTATATTCAAAACTGTAAAGCAAACATAAGAATAAGAGTTTAAGAGCACTAAAATGATTTGAGGTATAAAGATCATAGTTGATGCTGTGTTATTTGTTTGCTATAGAATGTGGGTGTTTTCAGATTTTCAGTAATTTTATATTTCTCAGAAGTTCATTGTTTCTTCTTTTCTCCCCTGTACCCTAATTAAGAGTTAATTACACAGCTTCTTTTCAGATACACAAATATGCGTACTTATGTTTTTGATTGAATGAGTGACTAAAGGAAGCACAGTTGGAAGCAGTGCAATGAGTTATGTTGAATATTATTGTTCTAAAACTCATTGGCAATGCACTTTCATGATTTGAAGTAGTACACACAGAGCAAAGCATTCCACCAGGAGGCAGTGTGCCTTTCAACTCTCTACACTCAATAGCCAGGTATGTTACGTAAACCTCTTGTGTATTCTAGGTGATTCTTCAATAACATGGAGATATTGCTACCTTAACTGCTTATTATGCCCACATGCCAAATCCATCCCAACACCTGTTTTTATAAATAAAATTTATTGAAACACAGCCAGGCTTAATGTGTCTATACATTGTTTATGGCTGCACAGTGGCTCTGTACGATAAACACTGGACTGTGAAGCGCAAGGTCGGCAGTTGGAGCCCACCTGCTGCTCTGTAGGAGAAAGATGAGACTGTCTGCTCCTTTAAAGATTTACAGCCTTGGAAACCCTATACGGGGTTGCTCTGAGTCAGAATTGACTCGACAGCACTTAACAACAACAATGTGGATGCATTCATATTACTATGGCAAAGTTTAGTGATTATAATAAGGAGCTCTGTTATTGTAGCAGTTATGAATTGGGCTGCTAACCTCAGGGTCAGCAGTTCGAAACTACCAGCTATTCCGCAGGAGAAAGATGAGGCTTTCTGCTCATGTAAAGATTTACAGCCTTGGAAACCCTGTACAAGGTTGCTATGAGTCAGAACTGACTCCATGGCACATAACAACAGAGCCTCTGTGTAACCCACAAAGCCTAAAATAGTTATTCTCTAGCCCTTTATAGAAAGAGTTTTGCCCATCTAGTCAAGTCCAACAATTTTCAAACTGCAATTTAAGACCAATAGATTGAGCAGTCTTTTAAGGGGATTATTACTAACCTATAAGAAAATGAATTAAAAAAGAATTACATAGAAAATAGTCTGGATAAGTATTTTATGAAGCCTTTGTTTCAGTTTCTGGCAATGGTATATCTGTGGATGGATATTTGTTGTTTTTAAGTGCCATTGAGTAGTTTCTGACTCAGTGATCCTATATAGGGTTTCTGCGAGGAGCAACAGATGGATTTGAACCAGCAACCTTGTGATTAGCAGCCCAGTGCTTGTCCTACAACGCTGTAAGCAGGATACTGCAGGAGTCCATTTGGGGATAAGAATTAAGTCCTGTTCCCAAATTTTGTAGATTAATTTAATCCCCACTTCCTACTTCACAGTCGTCTTTGATGCCAACTCTCAATGCGTACGTTCTCTTTGATGAGAACCACCTGGAGCTAGGTTAGAGTTCATAAGTTGAAAAGACATTATGCTTCAGACTGCCAAGTAGGCAGATACTAACTGTATACTCAAGAGTCCACACATTAAGTTGATTCCAACCCACAGCTACCCTATGTTATGTGACAGAGTAGAACTGCTCCATCAGGTGTCCTAGTCTGTAATCTTTATGGGAGCAGATCACTAGGTCTTTTCTCCTGTGGTGCTTACTGGTCGGTTCAAATTGCCTACCTTTTCATTAGTATTGGGTGCTTAACCATTGCACCATTAGGACTCCTTCAGGACACCCATATCCACTGTCATCGAGTCAGTTCTGAGATCTTATATAGGGTTTTCCAAGTCTGGTCATTTTTATGGGAGCAGACAATCTAGTCTTGGTCTCACAGAGTGGCTGGTAGGTGTGAACCACTGACCTGTGGTTGCAGCCCAGTGCCTAACCACAGTGCCACCAGGGCTCCTTATGGACATGGCACTCTTATTGGCTGTAATTTTGGTTTCCCATTCCAGCCTCATGCTTGAGGGTCTCCCTTGCCTTTAGATACTGGCTCCCACTATTCCTTTGGGTTTGATAATTTGTTGGCATAAATTGCAGAACTCACAGAAATTACTATACTTTTGATTATAGATTTATTATGTCAAAAGGATATAGTTTAGGATCATCATTAGGAAGAGAGATGCATGATTTACAAGGGTTCCCAATATAGAACTTCCATATCCCAAAGAGGACACATCATCTTTCCTTCTGGGAAACTATTGACGTCTGTATTCAGAGCCTTTAGTAATTTCACCAAGTAGTCATGATGAGGCCTCATTGCATATGCGTGGTAAGGAAGTTATACTTCTGAATTAGTTGATAACTTTCTGGTTGAGTCAACCCTCATTTATTTTTAGCAAGAATCCCCAGTTGTGGTCTAGAGGTTTTATATAATAAAGATACCTTAGTTACTCAGGAACTTCTAAGTACTTCTTAGTAGGGGGCATAGTGGCTCCATACAATAAGGACTGGATTGCAAACCACAGGGTCCATAGTTCGAGCCCAGCAACTGCTTTGTTGGGGAAAGATAAGGCTTTCTGCTCCTGCAAAGATTTGAAGCCTCGGAAACCCCATGCAGGGTCATTACAACAACAACATCTCTTAGGAACCAAGGAAAAAGGCCAGATTGGTATCTTGTTTTGTTTGTAACATGATTCTTAACTACATAGTTAAAATGTGCTTCTTAATGAAAGTCATGGTCAACAGAATTTGAAAAATACTGTCCTTTAACAAGAATGACAAGTACATGGCCACTACACAGTGTGGCATCCATTAGTCTTGGCATTCATTCATAATGAGTTTGTAATCCTTCTGAGCATAGTTCCTTTGTCTTTAAAATATGATGGGAAATTATAAAGAGTGCAAAGTTGTAGGGTTACTCATGTAAGAGGACTCATAAATCAATGGAAATGTTCTCTTGCAGTTGGGATAGCAACCAGTATAACTTTATAGAAATATGGCACAAAATTAACAAAATGAAGTACTTTATGTACCTGTGTACTAATATCACTTTAAAAGCATTCTTAACAGATAGTATAAAACAAAGCAGTAATATTTTTTTACACATTTAGGAAATGGACTATTGAATGTTGAACATCTAACTCATGTTGTTGTTATTAAGTGCCATCAAGTCAGTTCCAACAGATAACAACCCTGTAGGTTTCCAAGGTGGGTTTGAACTTCTGACCGTGTGGTTCGCAGTTCAGGCCAATCCATTTTTCAAAATACAGCCCATTAAACTTTGGGGTTTCTTGACAAGGTTTAGGGATATGGAATTTGGGGAGTCAGAGCCTCTTGTGGTAATTTTAGTTAGAAGAGTTTTCCTTTTATCATACACTATATGAAGGATTTAAGTTTGGTTAAAAAAGATTTGACTGCTGAAAAAATGAAAGCCGTCAAAGTTTTAAGACTAGTTGAAAGGTATAATATAGACTATAATAATGCTTCTTGATTTTGTTCTTTATGCCAGAGAAAAAACGTAAAATTAAGTATTAAAACTTTATTGAAGCTTAAGCATAATTTCTTACCTTTAGAGCTGTAGTCCCCTTTTAGTGGTTATCTTCTCTTCCACTAAAATTTATTTTTATCTTTACTATGATTTCTGCAAGACAACAGGAAAGCACTTTAGTATAGTCCTCAGGGTTACACTATTGGAAGTTGCCGAGGTAAGAATTGAAATTAGGTAGTGTGACCCTAAAACCTCTTTTTTCATTTTGAGCTTACAGTTAATTGCACCTTACAGTTAAACAATCCTATCCTCAAATTGGTTTGTAATGAGTTAAGGTTGATCTGCAAATACATTTCTAGTGCTTTTCTGACTTTAGGATTTTTGAATCCTGACCTCTGTAACATTTCCTCAAAGATTTGAGAGAAGAAATTACATACTGGGATTGAAAGTAACACTAAGTGTGGAAAGTTACATGTAAGATACCAATAACAGAATCAAGATTTTCATAAAAAACTGAGGACATCTGCAAGAGTATGAATAGGATGATAAAGGGTTAAAAATGGCATAGGGTTGAAAAAATGGAAACGTTTATTTAGAAGTAGAGGACTAAGAAAGTGATGTTGATTGCCTTCAAATATTGGATGATCTGTCTTTTTTAAAAGCGATTGGAACTAGGTCTCAAAGTAGAAATTTAAATGTGACAAATTTTGACTTCGTGCATGGAAGAATTTTCTATTACAAATTTTTTTCCCGACTTCTGGAAATGTTAATATTGGTGTTAGGTGTCATTTGGAATGACCTGTGATGTTATCCTAATTTCTCTTTTTATTGTTCCCTCATAGTTCTGCTCTTCATGTACCCTACACTTTATCACGTGGGAAAACGTGTGACAATGTGTTCCTATAAAGATAACAGGCTTGGAAATCTTACGGGCATTTCTACTGTGTGCTATGGGGTAGCTATAAGTTAGAATTGACTTCATGACTGCATGTTTTTTATAGCTTTACACTATTGAAGTATGCACTGCTGCTAGGTTTTCACTAGTCAGTGGTTTAAGGAATGGATCTCGCCAGGTCCTCCTTCCTAGTCTGTCTTAGTCTGGAAGCTCCACTGAAACCTGTCCATCACAGGTGACCCTGCTGGGATTTTAAATAATAGTGGCATAGCTTCAAGCATCACAGCAACACACAAGCCACCATATGACAGATTGACAGATGAGTGGTGGTAGATACTCAGAGTATGACTGGGGAGTAGCTACCGCCTCAAAATAGAGTTGTGTCTGATGACGTGGCTGGACCTTTTATGTGGCACGACTCAAAATGAGAAGAAGTAGTTGTTAACATCTGTTAATAATGAAAA